AGAGGGCAGTACTACCTCACTGCATTTCTTGAGCCTTCAGCACAATGTGGTGCATTTCTTGATTAAAAAAGTGATTGCGTAATCTTTAGTGACTACTCTTCTTCCAGTATCACTCATTCATATTACATAAATGATCCTGGCTGTAATCTAAGTTTTTGTTATCAAGAGCTTGTTAGCTACGGGGGATAACATGTCCTGCAATAATTCTGACATTAGCACAAATCTAATTAATGTGTCTGTGTGTTCTCCCACCAGCAGCTGCCTGTGGCGGGTTCATCACCAAGCTGAACGGCTCCCTCACCACCCCCGGCTGGCCCAAAGAATACCCCCCCAACAAGAACTGTGTGTGGCAGCTGGTGGCGCCCATTCAGTATCGCATCACTCTGGTGTTCGATGTGTTCGAGGCCGAAGGGAATGATGTAAGTTCATGACTGTAATACATCTCTCTGCAGACTTTTTATCAGATAGTCTACTATAATCATGATCATTTCACAGGCCAATTCTGTGTCCGCTGTAGTAAAAATGTCCAGTGTTTACCACCAGGTGTGTAAGTATGACTATGTGGAGGTGCGCAGTGGGTTGAGTTCGGACTCCGAGCTTCATGGGAAGTTCTGTGGAGCGGAAAAACCCGAGGTGATCACCTCCCAACAAAACAACATGAGGATCGAGTTCAAGTCTGACAACACCGTCTCCAAGAGGGGCTTCAAGGCCCACTTCTTCTCTGGTAAGTAATGAGGGAACTTTACAGGAAGTGCTGAGGAAGGAAACACTGAGGAAGTATTACATAATGCCAAAAGCCTGCTACTGTAGGAAACATCACTGCACTCCAGAGGTGGGAGAAGTACTCTAGATCTTGTAATTGAGTGAAAGTATAAGTAGTGTAGGAACACTAAAAAATATATATTTACTAAATATACTTAAACTACCAAAAGTAAAAGTACTTATTATGCAGATTGGTCCATTGAGTATAATTAGTGATGCATTAAAGTGTTATCAAAGCTGGTAAAGGTGCAGCTATCTACATCTGTAAAGTAACTAAAGATACAAAATAAATGTAGTGGAGTAAAAGTACATGAGTTACCTCTGAATTGTAGTGGGGTAGAAGTACAAAGTAGCAAACAATTGAAATACTCAAGTCAAGTACAAGTATCTCAAAATTGTAATTAAGTACTTGGGTAAATCTACTTGGTTACTTTACACCTCTGCTGCACTCCAAAAACAATGAAGTAGCTGTCTTCACTTTCTGATGCTAGACTGGAGGCAGGGATGTTGGACTTGTTTGTTCAAATGTAATTTAATTTTGCACAATTCAATCATTTAAAAGCATGCCTGGAGTTTAAAGTGAATCTGTCAATTTCACATTCAGAATCACAGTTTGCATTATTCACACAATTAAGACTAATGTTTGTGTATTTCTCTGATGGTATTTTATTTTATTATCTAATATAAAATAATTGTGTAGAAAATGTCATTGCAAAAATGCTCTCCAACTAAATTATAAATGTGTTAAAAGTGCTTCATGCAACAACAGCTGAAATACATCCACCTAAACAGACCACCATTTATAATAATAACGGCTATAGAATTAATTACATTTTTTCTCAAATGAATGTCCCAACTGAATGCTCTTTTTTGTAATAAAGAATATGTTGATAGCTCATCTTAATATCCACATAATAACATCTTATTAATTTTGTAATGTTGCGAATGACCAGCTAAAATGTATTAAATGGATACACCACATCCATTAGTGTACGTATAGGCCTATATCTTGAACCTCAAGCTGTTGATGTATTTCACAATGTATGCATTTGGTTCTTTGGACTGGAAGAGCTGAGCTTTTTAAAAACACTTACATAAGACTCTTAGACAAGAGAGTTTTGCTGAGAGCGTACAGTACTGCAGATTCTCCCTCGTTCAGTAACACATGGAGCCTTTGTGTCTGCACTGCAGCGGCACATCTTGGCCCAAAACTCAATATGTGGTGAACTTTTTCTGCAGTCTGCTGTGACAGAAATGCTGTGCAAAGGAATTTTGAAAAGCAAATTCTTTAAACATTTCAACAGATATAGACGAGTGCTCCAAAGAAAACGGAGGCTGCCAGCACGAGTGTGTGAACACCTTCGGGAGCTACAGCTGCCAGTGCCGCAGCGGCTTCATGCTGCACGACAACAAGCACGACTGCAAGGAAGGTACAGTGGCTGTTTCTGCTGCATACTCACATGTCTTATTGGAAGGGTCAGTGCACACAAATTACAGAAAGACTGGAAAAAATGTCTTATTTTTATTTAAGCAGAGATGGCAAAAGTACACACATCCTTTACTCAAATAGAAGTACAGATACTCGTGTTTAAAAATACTCTGGTAAAAGTAGAAGTACTGACTAAACTTCTTTACCAAAGTAAAGAAGTGTGGGCTTCGAAATGTACTATAGTAAAAAGTACCCATAACTAGCAGCTGTTTTAAAGAATACCTGACCTCCCTTTATATTAATAGAACAATAATGTCATTATTAGCTAATGAATGTTTCCATGCTGAACAACGGCAAAATTACAACATTTTCATTGGTCCCTCTTCTTTAGAGAAGACCAGGAAATGATGGATACACGGATCGTGTTCAAATCAATAGGCACGCAATGACTCTAAATAATAATGATCAGGCCACCAAACACACATTCAAACTAAAGGAACCAGCTGTTAGAAAGTACAGGTATTTGTGTTAAAAATGTAAGAAGTCAAAGTAAAAAGTCGTCTATAAGAAGTATAAGATAAGAAGTGGAGTAAAGTACTGATACCAGAAAAATGTACTTAAGTACAGTAACTAAGTATTTGTACTCCACTACTTCCCACCTCTGTATTTAAGTGTTTTTTTTTCACCTTTTATTTAATCTCCCCTTGAAAATTAGCTGACATGAGGGGACAAAAGCTCGGTGTTCTACTTTATAACTTTGATATATATTATTTACATGTTATTTCTTCTGTCTGGACAGTTTTCTTATGAACTGCCTATTGTTATTACTTTTGATGGATGCCTATTCTTAGGGAAAGACCCCAGAGGACACTTGTGGTGAAAGGGGGAAATGATGTGACCACTCTGTGATGCAGCTTCCATTGTTTTGCTTTTCAGCGGGCTGTGATAACGCTGTGAGCACGGTGTCCGGCACAATGAGCAGCCCCAACTGGCCCGATAAGTATCCCAACAAGAAGGCCTGCACCTGGTCTCTGTCCACAACCCCGGGCCATCGGATCAAACTGGTATGTCGAAGGGTCTTTTGTCACAACCCAACTTGAAAAGAAAGATATTCATACCTTTTTATCACTACAGGTTTTCAACGAGATTGACATGGAGGCTCACCTGGAGTGTGCTTACGACCACCTGGAGATCTACGACGGGCAGGACGCTCGTGCACAAAGTCTAGGACGATTCTGCGGCACCAAAAAGCCTTCTCCAGTCATGTCCACTGGAAACAAAATGTTCCTGCATTTTTTCTCAGACAACTCCGTGCAGAAGAGAGGCTTTGAGGCTTCATACAGAGCAGGTGGGCAAAGCAATTTTCTACGCCCAAAAAGTCTGGAAAATGTCCCTTTGGAGAAAGAATAAAATACAAAATAAGTGATGTTTCAACTATGTTTGTCCCGCTATGTTTAGAAAAGTTGCATTCTTTCCTCACTTTTACAAGATCCTCTGTGTGACCCTCTAATCTTGTGGTTGTGAATTCCCAGAATGTGGAGGAAGCCTGAAAGCCGAGGTCAAGACAAAAGATCTGTACTCCCATGCACAGTTTGGAGATAACAACTACCCGAGCGGCTCGGACTGTCTGTGGGTGGTCTCAGCTGAGAAGGGATACGGAGTGGAGATCATCTTCCAAGTGTTTGAGATCGAGGAGGAGGTGGACTGCGGGTATGATTACGTGGAGCTGTATGACGGTGCTGACATCAAGTCTCCCAGGCTGGGACGATATTGTGGATCTGGGGTAAGGCTAAAAATACCAGTTTAGAGTTTTAAAAACTGTTTAAATTACTCTTCAAAAACCCTTTTTCTTCCCCTCAGGCCCCAGAGGAAGTGTACTCAGCGGGAGATGCCATAGTTTTAAAGTTTCACTCAGATGACAGCATCAATAAAAAAGGCTTTCATGTTCGCTACACAAGCACAAAATTCCAGGACACGTTACACGCAAGCAAGTGACTCTCTACCCCAAAACTAAATGTGGAGACTTCACCCCTAACTTTTGGTCGGACACACCCATCTCGAGTGGATGCATGGATTGATACCACAAACACCAACCCGCATACTTTTACACTCACATCTGTTTTGACAAATTGCATCTTCCATAGCTCTTTAGGATAAGAGGCGAGGATTAGCTTGCAGTGATTATTTTGAGTAAATTCAGCGCCTGTAATGAGCTGATTAAGTCCTAGCACTGTGTTGAAGATATACAATGTATATATTGTGATATAGTCTTAATTCTAATGAATGTAATGCACTTTGTTGTTTTATAAAAATGGACGAATGCACATAACAAAATAATAATGATGGAGAAAGAAATGATGTAATCTGAGTTTTCCTTCCCAAAATATGAATTGTTCGTTTATTTTATATTTTGTCTGACTTGCATTTGATATTGAGTTTTCATTTCATTCATTACATTAATTACAGATTCAATTAGCGCCACATAATTCAATCTATCCAATATTCCCTTTACATCTCTGACTACGTCCTCATCAGTAAAACAAATGTATACTGACTTTGAACAGCAACTTAATACATAATACCTTGATTTATTTTTGAACTCACTTTAGTCTTTTAGAAGTGTACAATGTGGGCGTATAAGTACAGAGACACCAATTCAAGGAATTGAGGAAGCGAGGATGTACAAACTGAAATATGAGCCCTGAGCCTTTCATTTAGACCGATAGGGCTCCAACACCAACATAATGTAATCAAATGGCAAGGATGATCTATTTACTTTTTAATTTGGAATAAGTACTTTGGAAAGAAGTTGGAAGACATTTTTTAAACTTTTATTAACATTTTCATTTAGTGTTATATTGGTTGCCAACATGTATCAGCCATTGAGTCAGCCAACAGTCAAGACATCTATCAAAACCAGTAGAACATATCCACACTTAAAACCATTTGTTCACATTATAAAAAACGTATTAAACCCAAATGATCTTAAATACGCTTTTACAAATGTTTTGTCGTTGTTCTGCTGCTAGTTAGAATAAAAAAACATTCCCAATGTCCCTAAATGCACCAAAACAAAAAAAAACAATAAATGATATAGCACCTGATTAACTAAACATTTACTGTATACTGTATCAACATATCCATAAAACCACATTATAGAGTGGTAAATATATGTGGATCATGATCAACAAAAAATTATTGAATGATTAAAGTAATAATAAACCAGACAGTTTCATATTCTTCACTGAAGCACAGCTCCTCTGAAGTGAAACGTGTGGCAGTAGATCCAGTCTAGAAAATGAACAATGTGTTACAGAACTTAAAAGTTCCCCGTGGAGCTGCTGTCCTCTAGAAGTGTTGTTTTCCAATGAGTGACCCTTTTTTTGTTTAGATGCACACACAGTCCTTCAAATAGTGTCACATTGTGTTAATGATCAACAGGTGGCAGTCACACTCAAAGGTAAGCTGCAATGTGCCAACAAATACAGGCAAGAAGAAGGCTGAAGGCTAGCTAGTAGCTAACAGATTGCAAATGTTTGTGAGGAAGAGGATCTCCACAGGCCCCCATCTGTTTCTGTTGTTGAGTTGTATCTAATGTACAATGCAAATTAACAATTCTCCACTTCTCTACATAGTAAAAGTAATTGTTCCATGTTTGTTTATCAACTTTTTAAAATCTTTTTCAGTTGCATATTTGTCACACTTTCTTAAATCTTAGGTAGGAACACTTTGAGAGGCTCATTCTCATGCACTTTATCCAGGAAGCCGAGGTTGAAGTAGGGGAACAGGGTCTCGGTGAAGGTCTCCCTGAAGGTGTACAGGTGTGCCATGCACTCTGCGTTGTAGAAGGACACTAGGCCCCTCTTGTAATCCAGATACACCCCGATCCTGACCAGGGGCTCCTCCAGGGACAGGACGGTGGGGGGGGAAGTGCCGGCCATGTACTGTATCCCATAAGACAGGGAGAGGGTCCAGAAGCCGTTGGCAGGGAGGGCTTTGATGACCCCCTTCCTGGGCACCGACTCCCGGGCCACCCCCACCGTCCACACGGTGCTGCTGTAGACTTCGATCTCCCAGTAGTGGCGCCCGTGGGTAAAGCCCTGGCTCCCCAGCAGCGACAAGGCAGCGTTGAACCGTGAGGGGTTGTCCTGCACCGTGAGGTTAAAGGTCTGGTAGCGCACACAGGTGAGGGAGGAGGTCAGGCTGAGCCAAGGGTTGGCCGTGCTGGAGTTAAAGGTGATGGCCGCTGGAACTTAAAACAGGACAAATAACAAAAGAGTTAAAAGATCAGTGGGTTTCTGTGCAGGCTATTGCTTCTAGTTTACATTTTGCATAGAAAAATGGGGCCAAAATGATACCAGACGGACATTTCCCCCCAAATAGGATTTGTTGTATATCCATTACTCCCACTCTGTCACTTTGAAATCTTAAAGAATACTGCATGCCTCCAGAGTGAAGGAAAAAGCCAAGCCTTCCTAAACATTTCCAAAAGTCTTGATGAATTTAAAGTGGACCTATCATGCTATATTTGAAATATATATTGTAGGGCCATACCTATACAAAACATGTCTGTGAAGTCTTTTTTTCAAAATACCAAACAGGTCACCCATTGTAGCCATCCCTCATACTGCTCAAACCCCTCTTTTGAAGCCCTGTTAGAGAAACGCGGATCTTGGGTTCTTAGCTTGAAAAAAATGAAAGAAGAGGAGGTGGAGCTAATGCCTGATCAGAATTCTACTGGAGATAAAGTTAAATTCAGTTGTGATAAAACGCCATCCTGTTTAAACCACGTCAAGGATTATTTCTGAAATAGTATGGAGCTCAAATGCTTTTTCTTTTGCAGGATTATCACAAGGTGAGTTCTTTTTTTATTTCCTGCTTTTAAACACATGTGCTCTTCAGTACAGGTTAGCTCTGAATGTTAGCGAGGTTTGCTAATGTACAAACAAAGACGTCCAAAACACGTCAGGCATTGTTTCTGATAGCAACTTTCTATGGGTCCGCCGACGTCACCATGGATGGACATGTCAGTTCGGATGGAATCTGTATCCGCTCGTTGTACACCCGTTTTAAAAAGATTTGGGTACGGAGGAAAAGAGAGAGGGTTTTATTTTCTGACGCTGCGTGAGTTCCCCGACGCACCGGGGACACATATGTATGTATAAAAGACATCACAAAGTGCATTTTGCATGATAGGTCCCCTTTAAGTAAATGGGATCTAGTTTTAACAACACAAACTCTCACAACTCGTGCAATTTAATCCAAGTCTAATTCATCCAATGATATGATGTTTTGGCTCTATGAAACCTGATGTACTTATATGATTCTGTTTTCTTCAAGGTTGTGTCTTCCTGGTCGAATGTACTTATTGTAAGTCGCTTTGGATAAAAGCGTCAGCTAAATGCAATGTAATGTAATGTAATGTGATCGCTTATTTTTTTAGACATGCATTTTAACTAAAACCTTACTATTTAACACTTTTGGTAAAGTTCAGTGTTTAGGAAGAAGTGAGCATACTGTATAATGAGACTTTGATTAAACTGCGAGTTTGAGAAAATGTATGTTTAGTTATAGATCTACAGTTTCTTCAATTCATCAATAGTTTTCTCAGTTATTTGTTAATTGTTCACACTGGAGATGTGACGAGAAGGTTTCTTCAAGAATTCATGGTACCATGGCGTGAGTAATAGATCTAAAAATGCTCATTTTCATGTATTCCTTTAGTACCTGGATAAAGGCTTCCTTTCATGGATTTCCACACTCTGTACTGCAGGGGCCCCGCAAAACGACCCTCACACAGACTGGGCGGTGTGAATGTTGGTTTTTCAAACTTCAGTGAAGGCCTTCCAACATAAGCAAAAAGTCAGAACACTTAAGAGACGGAGATAAAAACAAAATCTATGCAGAATAAAACATTCAGACGCTTCTCTCACTCACCTCTGGAGCAGTGCTTTGATGCTCTGAATCGAGACAGGAATAAACACAAGACAGACACAAACTGTGATTAGTATCTGAGAAGCAGAAAGCTTTTTCCACATTACATCAATGCCTGAGCTCACGCTATCCCACCCTGTGGGATCTCCCTGTGGCTGGGGAAAGTCCCGCTGTATGGCCCCGTGCCTGAGCTAAACCCCTTATCCTCCAGATCAACAAGTGAGATCACGGTCTACATCCTGTCTCCACTCTGTGCAAGTATTTTGTTACAAGAGAAGTAGCAGCTGTGTTAACATTTCTACCATGTACGATAGTCTTCAAAATAATGCAAAGTGACATGATCAACATGTTTATGGCCTTTTTAATAATAGTGTACAAACTTACAGAGGAAAGCCAGAATGGTCACACCCTGCTCGGTTAAGTGTTTAAATGTTGATGTTGGAGCCATTGAGGCACCGAAATACAGCCCAGATCATGAAAATGAACTTTTACCCCATATTCCTGATTCATAGCATAAACATGAGTCTGGAAACCAACAGATTTAAAACCATGAGCTCAGCATTTCTTGCTCTAATTACCCCCAGAGCTGACTCATAATGCTGTTTCTCATTTCCAGATGGATTGTTTTGAACGTGGTTGAGGTTGGTTGAGGTTGGTTTCAGCGGATCTTACCCGCAGCAGGGTGAAGGCATCCTGCTCCCTCAGCTTGTCCTCGATCTCGTGGAGGGCCCCCTGCAGACGGGAGATCTCCACACAGAGCAGCGCCTTGTGCTCGTCCAGGCGGATCAGCTCCCTGCGCTCCTCCGTCTTCAGCTTCACCTGCAGCAGCTTCTCCTCCTGGTACAGGAACTGGTGCAGGTCGCTGAACTGGGCCTCGATGCGCTGCTTCAGGTCAGCCGTGTGGTCCTGGATCATGGACAAAGTCAGTGGGAGCAATCTCTTACAGTGTTTTCACAAAGAGGATCTTTTGTTCTTAGCTGCTACAATCTATGTTGGGAATTAGACACATTAACATCTTTGTTTTGCAGATTGCTTTCTGGCAAAAGCCGATTTCAAAGGTGCCCTATTCTGTTTTTCATCAATATATTATAGGTCTCAGATATATACAAAACATGTCTCTGAAGTGTTTGGCTCCAAATACCAAACAGATCATTGCAGCATCCCATAATCCCCTCTGTTTCAGCCCTGTTTCCAAAGTGCTGATTCTGGGTCTGTTACATTAGATGAAAATAAGGAGCCCCTCCCCACGCCCCTCTGAGAGAGATTTGGTTAAAAGAATACAATGGTGCTCTCGGGGGAGATTCAGGTGATAAGGTGGGGGGGGGGTACCTTGGTTGGTGATTGGCTAATGGTTACACAAGCCAAACAACTTTATGACATCACAAAGTGGCCAAAATCTGATCAGCTCATTTTCAGACAGGTTTTTATATAAATGGATCAGGAAAAAAAGAGAGTGGGTCTTTTTTCCTGAAACGTTCAGAGTCCCTTTCCACAGAGGGGACACATGTTGATGAATAAAACACATGAAAAAGTGGATTTTGTATAATAGGTGACCTTTCAGAGATTAAATGTCAAAGTGGATATTTTAGTCCAGTAAAGATTGTATTGTGTCCTTTGTGGCATCTATGTGTTTTTTGGAAGTGTTTCCTCTCACCTTCAGCTTTGTAACCTCGTCCTCTACCTCTCTGTCACACTGCAGCGCCGTGTTGAGCTCCACCTTCAGTGAGTCCATGGAGCTGTTTAGAGACGCCTGACAGGATAGAGACACAACATCACTGCACACTGACCCGCATCTACCTTCAAGTACAATGTCCCCCCTATGTATAGTTGATCTGAAGCAAAAAACTAGATAGGAACAGATTAAGAACTCATATATATATAAAACTATATGTAATGTTGCATTTAAGGTATTTGCTCACGTATACACTGTAGGAAACCAAACAGCCACAGCAGTGATTTATCTGAAATAAACTCCTGATATGCTGAATAATGTGCACTTCCTTCCCAAAAAAACGATCTTTTGGAAACTAAATCAAAGTCAGTGTTTAGAGAAGAAAGAAGAAGAAGAAATTGACACTATCACAGACTGAAGACCATGTAGTGTATTATGCACTAAGAAAAATATGCAAACAACCTGACTTGCAGCAACATGTGTAACAGAGAACTTGTGAGACCTTGATTTTAAAGGGTACTAAAATCAATAAATGTGTATTTTGGTTATTTTCCTTCAAACAGTGCATTATGAAAGCACGAAAAGCCCAAACAATCAAAATTGATCAGTGTATTAAAACAATATATGTTCTCCTGTTGGCTGAACTCACCCTGTACTTGTGCTCGGCCTCCTGCACACACACCATGGTGTGGTTCCTGTGCTCCTGGGAGACCCCACACACCAGACACACCAGCTCTTGGTCCTCCTCACAGTAAAGCTTCAGCTCCTCTCTGTGTCTGATGCAGCGGGGGACCAGAGCCGGAGCAGGGACCCTCTCCACCCCCCCCGACCTCCGCCAGACAGGGTCCGCTCCCGCTCTCCTCCAGACCCTGGCAGTAGCTCTCCACGATGTTGGCCACGATGCGGTTGGGCCTGTAGCTCTGCCCGGGGAACAGCTTCCTGCACTGGGGGCAGGAGCCGGTCCCTCCATGAAGGGGGACCCGGGGCCCGGTCCAGTAGCCCTCGATGCAGCCCTGGCAGAAGGTGTGATCACAGGGTAGGGACACCGGCTGCTTGAAGAGATCCAAGCAGATGGAGCAGGTGAGATCTCTGCTGATTCTGTGTGCTGAGCTTTTGGTGACTTTCCCAGCGAGGGGAGGCTGCCGCAGCTTTTCCATCGCTGCAGGGAAGTCTCCTTCCTTTGGTTTCCAACTTTTCTTCTCTGGCTTTAACCCCTGGTTGAGTTTTTCCAAGTTCTGCAGATAAACTGTCTGGATTTTCTTCACGTCTTTCGGATTCTTGCTCATTCCCTTGCCTTGGTTGTTTTCCTTTGTTCTGACGGTACAGCTGGACCTCCACGTCCTTCCTCTCCTGCAGAGTGCTGCTGCTCTGCTTGGCCTCCAGTCTTCCTGTTGAATGTGGGGAAATGAAGTGGGTGGTGCAGCAGCAGCAGCAGCCACAGCCTCTCACATCCTCAGCAGATAGTGAGGGAATCTCAACAGGCCCCCCTTTCCCCTCCAGAATGACGTCACGTCTGAGTCAGGAAACCAAGGCGGACTATGGATATTCTATCCTTGGCATGTTTGTATAGTGAAGCCTGCTCAGTAAGTGCAAGAAAGTTCACTAAACTCTTAATCCTTTGTAAAGTAACTGCAGAAAAATGTAAATCCTTACGGGAGCCTGTGTGTGTCCATGCCTGAGTGTGTTTGAGAAGTACATTTGTAATCACCAACAGATTTCCTGCTTGTTTTTATAGCGACACTCTAAGTAATAACTCCCGGTAAGTAATCATCGTCGCTGAAGGATAAACAAGTTCATAAAGAGATTTACAAAGAGAAAGAAAGCATCCTGCAGGCAGAAAACTCCACCATGGGCAAATACAAAGATAGCATGAATCATGTCAGTTTCCCCCGCCCCTCCAGTCATTATCACGCATATTTACAGCTCGGTCCCTGAGGGCTGGAACATCTGTCCTTGGAGTTTGTTTAACACACACTAGTTGACAGTTTCTTGTGACTTGCAGGGAAGAAAAAGAGCTCTGAGACTCGTCGGCATGTTTAAATATTACAGGGCGTTACATCACTCAGTGTTTATGGGAAGTCAGTACAAAGGTCAGGACAGTGAAGCGAGGGTTATGTTCATTTACATATGCATGTCAATTGGTCTGTCTGAGCTGGAAAGAGAGAAAAAGAGGGAACAAACCAATAGGGCGCATTTCTTATCTCATCTGGTACATTCAGTATTTTGAGTCTCTTGTAAAAACTTGTATCCTTGACATTCCTGAGACAGCAAGCAGATCAGCACCAAAATGTTGCGTTATGGACAATTGTGACACCTGGTGTTCAAACTGAAATGAAACAGAGGAATTATTATACAGTACATTACAGTATCGTGTAAAAAGTTATTCAAATCTTGCTCCTAATTACAAAACTACAGTAGACATTTAATAAGTTACGGTTGATATCCAGTGGGGTGGTGGCGAAGTCCATAGGGACTTGGCTTGGCAACTGGAAGGTCACCAAGTCCCGGAAAGACCAAGTGCTACCGAGGTGTCCCTGAGCAAGGCACCGTTCCCTACACGGCTCCCCGGGCGCCGTACATAATGGCAGCCCACTGCTCCTAACACTAGGATGGGTCAAATGCAGAGAAACCGTTTCGTTACATAGTACCTGTACTACGTAATGACAATAAGTTGAATCTTCAATCTTCTTCTTCAGTAGCAGAGGCGCTGTAGTTTAGAAAGCAGGGAGAAAACGGATGAGTGAATACGAGGTAAATAATGTTAAGCACGTAAGCGACAAGCGTGATACAATCTGTCTGCATTTCGATATCATTCCCCAACCAAGAACCCTCGCTGCTCTGTTTCACGCAGACTTGCAGTATACAGATGGTGACGAGGAGGTGATGAAGCTGCGTGTGAGTTCATCTCTGGAGAGAGTGACGGCAGTAAATAACTCTCCCCTGCCTCTTCCCCCTGCGATTTAGTGGATCACCAGATGTACGGCACATGTGCTTCAGGAGCCAAATGAAGGTGTGATCATGTGACCTCTGAACTCGGTCGCTGTCCTTGGTGCTGAAGATCGACAGGAGCTGTCTGCGGTGCTGAACATTTACAGGTAGGAAGCACTTTGTATCACAATCACTAAAACATTTAACATATTCTGCACAATTTGTGTTCTCCTGATTGGGCTGACATCTCAATAATCTCTTTTTTTCTCCTTTTTATTTGTATTTGATGTAACTTTCCTTAAGTTCTCCAGGTTGTTGTTTATGTTCATAGCTTCTTACCTCTACACGCAACCTGTTATCACTGGCAATGTGTGAAATATCACTTGGGGTGAATACAAAATGAAGTCCATTATAAACCTCATAAATCAGGTCATGTGTTGCATGAGTTATGATGTGCAATGACTGGAAAATATATGCAAGAAGAGAGGTTAAATTATATCTAACTTTTAGCGGCTGTTTTCAATATGAACTGCTTTCAGTACAGAATAAGTTAATTGATGGCACATAGTGTAATTGACTTGTAACCTTCTTTAGACCTTCACACACATAATGAACACAGGAGACGGATAAGGGCTGTTAATTAAAGTGTTGATTCCTGTAAACCTCATGGGTCAAAGGGAAAAAGACTGGTTTGCAGCAGAGGATAAGTGATGGTAGTATTTCATAAATGGGGAAAAGAAAAATGTACCAAACCTCATGCGATTCAGGTGCAAGTAACAATCAAAAACTCACACTGCAACATTAGATAATAATTGGTTAACATTGTTCGAAAAATGACGAGAGCACTTCAGTGTGAGCTTGTGTTAGCATGCTGATGTTAGCATGTATCTCAAAGCTCAGCCTCTCAAATCCTCTCACATGGCTTAAGACTCTTTATACGTTGCTACACACCTTGCAAAAAGTCCAACTTTAGAAAACAAAACAGTGTTTCATGTATTTTTATTTATAGGAAAAGCTGCAGAAATGGTCATTTTGATTTCTTTATATTTTTCTTTTTAGTTTGGACCTTTAGGTAAAGTGTTATAACAGCTGGGTAACGACAACAACACATATTGAATGTCCTTTTTGCTATGAGGCTGTTTATCTTCACCCGCCCTTTACATGAACACCTCTATATGTTCTATAACTCATATACCGGTTGCAGTGTTGCATATGAAGGCTATATTCATGTATTATACAATAGATGAGGAGAGATGGGTATATGTGGCACAGCTGGAGACAAAGTCTGAGTATGTGCAGAAATGTGTGCAGTCATGCATGACACCAGTGTTTTGTGGCCAATTCTGAAAAAAGAAAATGCAACATTCATGAGGACAGAGAGAAAATAAAAAGACTCTCCCTTTCACACACAAACACAGGAGGCACATCTGTACTGGACACCCACACACGCACACACACACACACACACACACACACACACACACACACACACACACACACACACACACACACACACACACACACACACACACACACACACACACACACACGCACACTGACCTCAATTAAACCCTGAGCTGATGTGTGAGGCACCGGGGAAACTGGAGGCTCTCTGGACTGCGCGGGGCTATAAATAACCTCTCAGTCTGCACCTAGGAAGATAAGAGTCACAAGGACAGGCAGAACGGAAATATTGAATTTCTCTAGATATGTAAATGATGGCTGTTAAGATATTGTTAACAATGTATGTGTTCTCTGACTTCTAAGTATTATATTTAAGCAAATGAAATAAATAATTTGAATGATTTGATTTCAAATGGCTTACATTTTTCCCATTTGAATCATTCAGTCAAACTTTAAGATAATTAAGATGGCAGAAAAAGTCATATTTCACACCACAAACACTGTACTTAAACGTAGTCTTGATGGACAACATCTCCTCAGGAACATCTTTCTTCTTAAACCTCCAAGTAACGTGAGAAGCCTATTTCCGTTTCTATCTCTCTTTTCCAACTGAGAGCACACACTAGCATGCAAAATGCAGGGTTGATGAGAATGGAAGAAGACTTTGCTAAACACCAAAAGGAAAAACAAATGTAATTCTCTCCATAACCAAACTGTTTCTTTCCCTGTTTTTCTTCATCTCGGTGTTTCCTTTCTGTTAGATTCCCCCCCACAATAAAAAGCCACTTTCCTCCTCATGACTTGCATAGCATTTGAGAAGATGTGTTTAAATGTCAGTCAGCTATTGGGCACAGCCAGGAGGCAGCTTCCTTCCAAGTTAATGTGAAACCACATGCAGGTGCAAAGGACAAAGTGTGCTCTGACTGGGCTAATGTCACATTTAAAAGTCTAATCACAGGAGTTGTGCAGCATGATGCCATTTACACTCTGTGGTTCCACATATCAAACCTACATGCAGCTTGTTATTCAATTGGAGAGACTATCACCATTTATGTTTATTGTAACATTAAAATATATTGTAATATTGATATTTTATGCACTGATATAACTGCAATGGTACTTAAAAATACTTAATAAGACTGTTAGGGAAGATTTGTTTCTGAATTGTACTTAATGAATGCTGCAATTGTAGAAAATACAGATTTGCATGATTACACACTGTTGCAAATTCTGTATACCTTGTCCTAGTAGAACGTTTACAGTTCTTCCACTTAGAATAAACTAGATGCAAGATGTCCGTGTCTGTCAATGGGACTGTACGTCTCATAATTGGCTCGACCAAAAATCGTTTATAAATGTGCTATATAAATAAAACTTGATTTGATTTGATAATATATGAATCCTCTTGTTTTGTTATTATTAATATCATATCTGTGCAGGATCACACAGAAAGCAAAGCAGAGCCATGAAACACAGCAATCATGTTTTAATTTCCTCAGAGTCACACTGTTAGCGCCTGCCTGTCTGAGTTTGGACTCGCACACCATCACTGCAGGTTATATTATCTGTCTGGCATTTCTAATAATAATGTGTCACGATGTGAACACCTCATCACACCTCAGTCCCTCTGACGCTACATACATACATTGTTGAGGATCGCGACTCTGCCCACCACTGACTGAATTGTGTTTTCATCCTTAGATACATCAGGTTTGTTTGTTCATCTGTAGCTGTGTTTTTTAATATTGTTGTTTAGTCTCGCAGTGTGAGCGCAGCACTCGGAGACGCTCTGCTCCTCCTCCAGATTACTGTGTCTCTCCGTCTCCCTGCTGCTGCTGCTGCTGATCACTTCGTCTGAGGAGCGCGAGCGAGGAAGATTGCAGCGAGATCACTCTGCACAAACAGCAACACACATCCAAACGCAATGCAGGTACAATGATCCCTTATTAATATGCTTTAAAAGGATAATTGCTGTGAAAACTAGCATGCTGAATGTGGTTTATTGTTTTGTGTTCTTATAGCTACGGTACTTTGTAGTTTACTCACTGGGATACTTGTACTTGATAATGTATCAACAACAGAAAGACCTAACAATTAATGAACAAGAGAAAACAA